AAAGAAAGGAAATAAACTAGATGTTTTCTTGGGAAAAGGTAGAGATAAACGGACATTAAGAGGAAGAGGTGGTATAGGGACCCTAGGGAAAAAATAATTCACTTCAAGTGTTTTTATGTAAACACTTGCATGTAGTATTATCAAATATATTAACAGTGCTTATAAAGTGCTTTGTTAGATTTTCTTTTAAAGATAATGACTTTGATTTATTGCTCACAGTAGGCCGTGTGTGTGCATGCGTGCATGTGTGTGTGTCTAGGAGAGAGAGAGAGAGAAATACACTGAAAGGTAAATAAGGCAGATAAAGAAGGGTGAGTTTGGCTGAAACCGGTTTGGCTCAGTGGATAGAGCATTGGCCTGTGGACTGAAAGGTCCGGTCAAGGGCATGTACCATGGTTGCGGGCACATCCCCAGTGGGGAGTGTGCAGGAGGCAGCTGGTTGATGTTTCTCTCTCATCGATGTTTCTAACCCTCTATCTCTCTCCTTTCCTCTCTGTAAAAACTCAATAAAATATATTTTTAAAAAAAGAAGGGTGAGTTTAGATAATATTAGACATTGAATTTGTGTAGTATCTGAGATTTTGTTTCACAGCCACTCATCTTCACAATGAGGACTTATAATGTTCCCTTGTCCCAGTTATTTTTCTCTCTGTATTACTTTAGACATCCGTGCAGATTTTCATTCCTAATAAGAGGCAAAAACAGACAGATGTCACCCTGGAAACTTGGCTGTGCAAGCTCTGATCTTCTCTTTCCTGGTTGTAAATTTGAGGCCAATAAATGTGCACCAACCATCATCTTTGTAGTCCAAGAGGCAAATAAATCCGGTTAATATGTCTGTGACATGTTTCCTGTGCTGAGAAGGGAAGAACGTGTTAATAACATGCTTATTTTAGACATCAGGGTAACCGTGTTCATCTTCCATGAAAAAATACTGAACAGCCAGTTCAAATGGTCAGGGATGCTCGCTGGGATAAGAGCTGCCAGTCGACGGGACATGGTTCAGTACAGGCCTGTGATCCCATCAGTGGGTCAGAGCCTGGCACCCACCATCCAGGCGGTTGCAATCTCGGCGGAAGACCGGAGCTATTTTCCTGCGCATCCTCAGGGCTGGGTCACACACCTCCCTCCGGGTAAGTGCCTTTCCTTTGTGTTCCCTTAACTCTGCCTCCCCCGCCCCCGCTGCATGGACTACAAAGATGACCGTGGGTGCACACGTCCGACATCGTCCGCGAAATGAAACGCGGCTGCCCTCCTCCCACTGGTTCCCCATCTTCCAACTTTTCTCCTCCGGGCATCCCTCCCGCCCCCGCAGTGGGCGTCGCTCCGGCCCCGCCCCCCTCCCTGATTGGCTGTCCGGTGGGCCGCTCCTTCGCTCTCATTGGCCGCTCAGGGGGAG